TGTCTTTTGGTTATTTATGTTTTAATTGAGGTGAAACTTACAGATAAGTGGACAAACTTTAAGTATCAGCTGGGTGAATTTTCCTGTATGTGTGAAACACACCAGGTAAGATACAGAACAGTTTTGGGGTTTTGGGGTTGTTTTTTTTTCTTCTTTTTTGTTTTCAAATGAAGACACTCAGGTTCCACTTGGGAGAGTTTTGAGCAAGGAAGAGACAGAGTCAGATCTGTTTGAAGACAGATAGCAATAGATGTAGCTATAGGCCCTGTAGGAGACAAGAAAAGGCACCTGGGCTAGGCATGGTGGCTCACACCTGTAATCCTAGCACTCTGGGAGGCTGAGGCAGGTGGATTGCTTGAGGTCAGGAGTTCCAAACCAGCCTGAGCGAGACACTGTCTCTACTAAAAATAGAAAGAAATTAATTGACCAACTAAATACATATATACAAAAAATTAGCTGGGCATTATGGTGCATGCCTGTAGTCCCAGCTACTCGGGAGGCTGAGGCAGGAGGATCACTTGAGCCCAGGAGATTGAGGTTGCTGTGAGCTAGGCTGATGCCACGGCACTCACTGTAGCCTGGGCAACAAAGTGAGATGCTGTCTCGAAAGAGAGAGAGAGAGAGAGAGAGAGAGAGGAGGGAGGAGGGAGGGAGGAAGGAAGGAAGGAGGAAGGAAGGAAGGAAGGAGGAAGGAAGGAAGGAAGGAAGGAAGGAAGGAAGGAAGAAGGAAAGAGAAAGGAAAAGAAAAAAGAAGAAGGAAGAGAAAGAAAGAAAGAAAGAAGGAAAGAAGGAGGAAGGAAGGAAGGAGAGAAAGGAAGGAAGGAGAAGGAAGGAAGGAAGGAGAAAGAAAGAAAGAAAGAAAGAAAGAAAGAAAGAAAGAAAGAAAGAAAGAAAGAAAGAAAGAAAAGGAAAGAAAGAAGGAAAGAAAGAAAGGCACCTGACTCACCCTGGAGGTCAGGGAACTCTTCCCAGATCAGTGACATCTGTGTTCAATCTTGAAAAATGGAAAGGTTGTGGGTATAGTGAGCAGGTGCCAGGGGAGTGTATCACAGGCAGAGGAAACAATAATGTGTGAAGACCAGTGTGCATGAACAGCCATGCGCTAGCAGCACCCTGTTCCTGGGATTTAAAAAAAAAAGATTTGGAGCCAGGGAAGGACTTAAGGCTGCAGCATGGTGGGGAAATAAGATAGAGAGGCAGGCAAGAGCCTGAAGAATTTAAAACATCAGTTTGAACTTTCCTCCCAAGTGCCCTTGAAAGGGCTGTGAGCAGGGGAAGGCAGAACCAACTCTGGGTGGGAAAAAGACCTTCTGGAGCCTGTATAGGAATGAATGGAGCGAGTGAGACTGGAAGCCTGGAGGTGGGGAGGAGTCTGGGACTGTGGTCCAGGTGAGAGAGGAGGCCTGAGGTGGTCGTGCAGATAGGAGGGAAGGGCAGAGAGAGGCAGGGCAGGAGGGACGGAGCTGGAGACTGCCTGAGGAGGGTGAAAAGGGAAGGGACAAAGACAGTTCTGGGGACCCGATCCAGTGACTAGTAGACAGTGGACCATTCCTAAGATAGGGAACCCATGGCAAGGAGTGGGTTTGGGGAAAGATTCTCAACTCATTTGGTGGCTGGAGCCCTGAGCCCTCAGCCCTCTGAGCCCTGAGCTCCCAGTCTACAGAAGGAAGGAAGTTTGGGTGTTGTCAGCTGTGGTCAGTGATGGACGCTGTGGGGATTGCTGAATTTTCCTTGGAGTAGAGTGAAAAGAGAAGGGAGGTTCCAGGCACTATTTTGGTGAAAGCCTTAAATACTAAGAAAGGGATCTGGGAGAAAGTAGAGTATGGGAAGAGTAGCCAGCTGCCTGACCCTTCAGAAAATAGAGGAGGAGCTCCTCCTAAGGCGGTGAGATTAAAAGAGCTGATACAAATACAACACTCAGAAGTGTGTCTGGCATATAACAGCTGCTCATTAGCATTTTAATTCCATTTCTCCATGAGAGGAGTGGAAAGACTTTGAAATTCCTGCTATCCTTCTGTCCCTTACTAGCTCCAACAACATGGGGAAATTGCTCCTGATTTTCAGAGTCTTGTTTATTTGTAAAATTAGGGCAAACTCGGATGGTTTTGAGGAATACAGTTATTCCTACATTATTCACTATTTCTGAATGACACTTAGGAAACAGTCCCTCCCCCGCAGCCTAAGGGCCAATTAGGGCTCGGTCCGCCTCCAGAAAATGCAAATTCGGGAAGACCTTCCTACCACACGCGCCAGCCCGCCCCGCTCCCGCGCGAGGAAGCGCCTGACTCCTTCCCGTTCCTTAGACCAATCAGAGCGCGGTCCGCAAGAGCAGTGTCCTGGGAGCGCAGATCGGAGCCCTCCGCGTCCCGCGGAGAATGGGTTGCCATGGTTACCACGGAGGGGCGGAGCTGGGGGCCAGGCCTCCAGGGAGAGAGGCAGATTTTGATTGGCTGTTTCCTCTCTTCACCTGCGGCCCAGGTGTCTCCCTGCCCCTTCCGAGTCCCTCCTGGAGCCTGACGCCTGGTTCTCTCCCTCGTCCCCTCCCGTCCAAGCCTGGCGCCCCGATGGTCTCCCGGGAAGGGCGCAGTCAGAAAACCCTGAGAAAACTGCTAGAGGCTGCTGCGAGAGAAGGAAACCCTTTTCTAATAAAAGCGTTTTGAGGCCGGGCGCGGTGGCTCACGCTTGTAATCCTAGCACTCTGGGAGGCCGAGGCGGGCGGATTGCTCGAGGTCAAGAGTTCGAAACCAGCCTGAGCAAGAGTGAGACCCCCGTCTCTACTATAAATAGAAAGAAATTAATTGACCAACTAATATATATAGAAAAAATTAGCCGGGCATGGTGGCGCATGCCTGTAGTCCCAGCTACTCGGGAGGCTGAGGCAGGAGGATCGCTTGAGCCCAGGAGTGTGAGGTTGCTGTAAGCTAGGCTGACACCAGGGCACTCACTCTAGCCTGGGCAACGAAATGAGACTCTGTCTCAAAAATAAATAAATAAAAGCATTTTGCTACGTGCCAGGCGCTGTGCAAAATCTTCTCGTGAAGTATCTGGGTTGATCCTCATAACAGATGGGGAAAATGAGGCACAGAGAGGTTAAGAAGCCTTTGTCAATATCACACAGCTAGATTTGGGGGACCCTGGTTTGGATGCCGGGTGCGTTTCCCACTGGAGCCTTTCCACTGCGCCCAAAGAGAAGTCTGGAAGTGACCAGAAGATAGAAATAGCGAGATTCAGACGACAAGAGAGCTGACAAGAGAGAGATGGAGACCCAAAGGAAGAAAGAAAAGGAAAATATGAAGGAGTCAGGCAGATAAAAATAGGAAAAAAGAAAGTGATTAAAAGGAAAAGTTTCAGAGGCAGAAAGAAAGATATGGAGAGAGGAGGCAGAGATCTCCAGAAGGCCAGGAAGGCAAGCGATCAGTACAAGGACCCGGGAGAGGTGGGGTAGACGCCTAGAGAGGAAAGGAACCCGAGAAGGGGGCAGAGACTCACGAGGGAGGCGGGGGTGGTGAACTGGAGGGTTACGGAGAACCGGAGAGAGGGGCAGAGACGGGGCTGGAGGGGAACCGAGGCCTCGAGCGCGAGGAGACAGAGCTGGGGGAGGGGCGTGGAGGCAGAGATCGGAGAGAGGAAAGAAGCCAGCTTCCTGGAAAGAGTGAGCGACAGACAGACGGAGACGGAGAGAATATGAATTGAGGGAAAGATTTTTTTTTTAAGAAGCGGAAACTGAGAGGCGATACGCCAGACACAGGTCCCTCTCCTTTTCCGCCCTGCTCGCCCCCCACCCCGCCACCACACACACACACACACACACACGCACACGCACACACACACACACGCACACACACACACACACGCACACACACACACGCGCGCGCGTCGCACAGGAAGGAGGCGCAGTCAGGCGCTCACGACAGGGTCTTTATTACGGCGGGGCGGCGCGGGGCGCTCAGGGCGCGTCCAGCACCAGCAGCTTGTGCATGTACGAGTTCAGCCAGTGGCGGCGCTCGAGGGCGGCCAACAGCCGCGCGCGTTCCCTGAAGGCCGCGTCGTCCGCCAGCGCCAGGCTGCGCCGCGACAGAGGAGTGGCCGGACGCCCCCAGGCCCGGCCGGAGGTGCGGGGGCTGCGGGGAGACCACGGGACGCGCTCACCGCGAGTCCACGCCCCGCCCGCCGCCGCCCGTGCTCCCCGCAGTCTAACTCGAAGCCCAGTTACTGCCCCGACCGCGGAGTGGCTCGGTCTCTCTCCCTCTGTCTCTTTCTCTCGGTCTCTCTCCCTCGGTCTCTCTCCCTCTGTCTCTCTCTCCCTCGGTCTCTCTCTCTCTGTCTCTCTAGTCAGGTTCAAAGCTCCCCGAATGCAGAGATAGAGCCTGACGCGCTCGTCCGTCCCCCGCGCTCGCCACACGGCCTGGCACACACCAAGAACCCACACGTTGCTCAAGGATCTTTCCCAGAATCTTCCTTTTTATAACGCTTCCTCTTGCTGAGTCTCTGTCTACCACCACCACCAACTCCCCCCACCTTGGTCCCCCACCCCCGGTCTCTGTCGCCCTCTCTTTGGGTCTGTCCCCCTTTCCGGGTCTCTGTTCCCCTTTCTCTTTGGTTCTCTTCCCACCTCTCAGAGTCCGCTCCCCTCCCTGGGAGTCCGGGCCTGGCACCTACCTGAAGACCCCAGCGGGGGGCAGGGCTACTCCAGAGGCAGTGCGGGTGCCCCAGGGGACAAGCAGCAGCAGCAGCAGCAGCAGCCGCACCCGGGGGCTCCGGGACACCTGGCAGGTCTCCATCACCTATGGAGAGAGAGGAAAGGGATCAGTGGGGCCCGAATCCCTGCCCAGGACCCCACCAGCCACCCACCCCCAGCGGCCTCCCGCAAGGCCCCCTACCACGCAGTGGGCACTGGCAGGATGCTGGCAGCCCCCTTATATGGCCTTCACAGCCCCCGCTGCAGGCAGTGACGCAGGCCGGGGGCCGGGGGCGCGGGGTCAGCCCCCACCCCAGGCTCATTAGAAGCTGCTGTGGATAATGAGGAGCCGGGGGTGGGGGCCCTGCCGCTGCATTGGCCACCACCAACTAATTGGGACCAGAAGCTGGGACCTGAGAAGAGGGAGGGGGAGAGACAGACAGACAGAGAGGTGGACACAGGGGGTGTGTCAGAGATAAAAATAGAGACTGGTGGGGGGACCATTAGAGCAGAAGACAGGGACAGAGAGAAAGAGGGACAGGGAGAGCAACAGAGAGGAGGGGCTGTGAGGAGAAACAGAGACATGTAGAGAAGAAATAACAGCCAGGGGAGGGACAAAGACAGAGAGTGGCCTGGGAGGAGAGAGAGTAGGAAAGGAAGCAACAGAGAAAGAAAGAATGGAACAGAAAGGAAGAAAAGAGAGGGAAAGAGACTAACTGAGCCAGATCAAGATGGAAGGATGAGGGAAAGACAGAGGAGATGGAAGGACAGAGGACCTAGCCAGAGATTCCCAGAGATTAATCCGGCAGGGAGAGAACAGAGGGACAGAGCTAGGGAGCAGGGGAAAGGAGCAAGGACAGGTAAAGTGACTGACAAAATCAAGAAAACCTCAGAGAGCGGTGAAGAGGAGACAGACAGACAGGGGCCCTGAGCCACCCTGTGCATGTGTTTAAGCCCCTCCCTGGGATGTGTTCGGGGGTGTCGTGAAGAGAAAGCCCAACCCCCCCAACACTGGCTCTTAAGATGAGGCCCTCCATACACAGTGGGGAGGTGGACAAAGGTGGGACGTCCTAAAGGGCAGCAGTAACCTGGGACAAGGAAGCCTGGGCTCCCAGTTTCCCAGAGAGGAGGAGCCGGAGCTTGGGCTCCTAGGTTTAAGAGTGGGTGGGACGAGGACCCAGACTCCCGGTTCTAGGGGAGGAGAGGCCTGGGGACCTGCATTCCTGGATCTGATGGAGGAAGGCCTGAGGCTGGAGGCCTGGATGCCTGGGTCTGAGGGGAGGGACCTGGGGAACCCAACTCCAGGGTTTTGAAGTAGGAAGGTGTGCCAGGGAACTAGACTCTTGGTTTTGGGGTAGGAGGGAACAGAGGGCCAGGACCCCTGGTTTCAAAGGGAAGAAAGTTTGGGCCATAGCCTTCCACCAGATCATCCAGTCCCTATCTGCCTTCCTCAGCCCAGAGACAATGTCCTTTACCTCTGTCTCTTTAAGAGCCTAAACCTGTTGCTAGGCTCCCAGGATCCCCTAGGAGGGTGTCAGGTGCGTCACCCAAATGCCCCTGAGACCCTACCTCCCAATGCCCCGCCCAGAGCCATTCTGCAGCATTCAAAGGTCTCTGCATCCAGCTCTGCTCACCTGCTGTTATCTTGGACACCACTGAGCAGGTAAGAGCCCCCAGGAGCCCAAGTGAGCTTGTCTCATCCAGGTGTGAGCCACCTCGCCCTCCAGCTCACCACAGACCCACTGAGTCTCAACCTGGACTCGCCCCCAAGATGCTGAAATCCTCACTCCATCCCCGATAAACAGAGAGGCCTGAGAGCTGTCTCCTCCGCCCCACCCATGCCGAAGAGTCCAGACGCCTATTTCTGGAGGACTCAGGCCTCAGGGCTCCCAATTCCCTTCTAACTCAGGACCAAAGAGCTCAAAACTTCCATTTCCTTTCTCCCCTGTAATCCAGCCCCCCCCCCAATGCCTTGCTCCCTCAAAATTCTAGGTGTCTGAACTTTCAGGCTTCTCTTCTTGAAAGAACCAGGAATTCAGACCCTCAGCTCCCTCACCCTGTGAGACTCACGAGTCTGAACCCCCAGCAACTTTCTTGCCCAGGGCCCAAGAATCTCCCTCCTCTCTCAGATTCAGGAGTTGAGTCCCCAGCCCTTCCTTCCGAACCTCCTCTAGTGTAAACAACTGTTGAGTCAAGGTGTCTCAGGGGGCCTCGGAAAGGAAGGCGATCTCATGTCCCCTCGGAGATCTGACACCTTCCAAAGTCGAAGTCCAGGGAGTCTGGGGGCCTGGAGAGGTGTCATTCCTTCCCAATTTTTCTAGGACCACTGGGTGTAACAGATAAGGAATTAACTATGGCTCCCAAGAAGCCCCGCCTCAGTCTCCCTTAGCTACCGCAGCCATCACCCCCCAGCCTCCTGGGAGTTGCAATTGGGTTTTCATCTCTTCCCTGGCGCTTGCTGGGCAGCGTTGCGGTCCACCTGTCGGTGGAGGGCGTGGCCTCAGGTGGGGTGGGCGTGGCCGCTTAGTGGGCGGGGTCTCCGGGGAACCCTCAGCCTTAACCCCTTCCTTCCCACTCCCCAGCAGCTATAGGCATCTCCCAGAGCTATGAAATCCTGCAGCCTGATCCTCTTCCTCCTCGTCTTCCTCCTCGCTGGACTGGGTTCCAAGGCCGCCCCCTCGGCCTCTTCGCCTTTAGGCTCCGACTTTCCGGGGATGGGCCACCCCTCTGAGACATCCTCTCCTGCTTCTGATAATTCCACTGGAGATCAGCCTAACCCAGAATTCCCTGGGACTGTTTATGCTGAGCCCTCCAAGACACCTCACCTAGTTTCCCCCGAGACTTCCTCCCTTCTTGACCTCCCTGGGACGCCCAACCCTGACCTCCCAGAAACCTCACACCCAGAGTTCCCTGAGACCCACAAGGCTGACCCACTGTCAACCTCAATATCAGAATCCTTAGACATCCCCAAAATTACCCCCTCCCAAATGACACACCCAGAGCCTCCTGAGATCCCCAAACCTGGCCCAACTGAAATTCCACACCCAGGATCTCCTGAGACCCCCAAAGCTAACCCCTCCAAAACTTCACGCCCAGAATTTCCTGAGCCTCCAAACACTTACCCTATGCAAACCACACACCAAGAACCCACAAAGACTCCCAAAGTTAATGCCACTGAAATCTCACAGGCAGGAATCCCTGAGACCCTAAGTCCTGACCCCACCAAGACTTTTGATCCCAGATCTCCAGAAGCCCATAACCCTGACACCACTGAGCCCCTAAACTCTGAATTTCCCCAGACCCTGTATCCTGACCCTACTGAAACCCCCCACCCAGAATCCCATATGACCCACAACCCCAACCCCACCAAAATTTCCCAAACCAAATTCCCCACAACCCACTACCAAAATGCAACAAATGTCCCCATGACCTCTGACCCTGAAATCTCTACTAGTCTTTATCCAGAAACACCTTCGCCCTTCATGGATGAAGCTACTGCCCTAAATCCCAAGCTAGAAACCCTTGCAGTCACCCAGCCCGACTCCCCTAAATTTCCCACCTCAGATTCTCCAGGGACCGTTGAGCTGAAGGCCCCCCAGAACTCTGACCCTAAGGGGCCCGACACCCCTCCTCCCTCAGCCCGGATTGCAGGCCCCCCTGCTCTTCCAGGGCCCCCCAATCAGCTGGCCCCTGCCACTCAGCGGGCCCCCCAGCGGCGCAGCGGAGGTGAGAGAGTCAACACTATCATCGTGGTGGAACGAGTGAAGGAGACCGGTGAGCGGCGGGAGCCGGACTCCTGGGTCCGCGGGAGGCGGGCTGGGGGCTGGGCTCAAGGGCCCGAGGGAGGAGAGGGCTGGGAGCTCAGACCGTCTCCTCCCGCAGGCGTGACTCTGGTGGGGCGGCCCCGCGGCGCGGCCGGCGGCGCCCTGTGCCTGTTCTTCGCGGGGACTGGGCTGCTGCTCGGCATTTTCCTGCTGCTGTGGTGTCTCTACCGCCGGGCAGCGCGACACCGGCCCTTCGCGCACCACCGCCTCCCGGACGACGGAGACGAGCCGGGTGAGCGCCCTGCCCCTCGAGTGCCTGCACTTTTCCTTAACCTGGTCCCCCCAGCCACTACACGGCGCCCTAACTTTTCGAAAAGCACAGATCCCCCATCCAAGGTCAGTTAAAGCCCTGACCCCTTCATGGTCACGTCTCAAACACACACACACACACACACACACACACACACACACATACACACACACACACACACTTCAGGCCCAGAGCCACCGGTCCCTTCAAGCTCCGCCCCTTCCGCGCCGGGCCCTGAAGGCCCCGCCCCTCCGCTGCAGGGCCCGCCCCTGCTGATGGACGCCACGCCTCCTCTTTATTCAGTGGCCTTCACCCTTTCTTTGAAAACCCAGTTTAAATGTGCTGTCGGGTCCTCTCTTCCACCTCCTCATTGGCCAACGGCACAACAGAGGGACAGACCCCCCCGTTGGCCTGGGGATGACCCTCGACCCTTTGCTCACACAGTTATGCATTTGGACACCCCCAAGGACCCCTACGACCTCTACTTTTATGCACCGGATGCCTGGGTCCCTTCGCACATCGCCACCAAGCAGCCGCCGCCCACACCCCAGCTGCCACCCAAGCTGCCCCCACCACCCCGCGGGGGCCGCCCTCAGCGCCTGGAGGCACTGTCCCCCGCCACGCTCCCCAACAATTTCGTGTGAGCCCTGCCTGAGTCCCACCAGACCTGCGAATCCCCAGAGGGAGGGAGGACCCAGGGGTCCTGTCCTCCTGACATGCTTTGCTACATAGTGGACCTATGGGATAGGGAGTCCAACACACAGAGATGCTTTCGCTGTGGTCGGAGAACACAGCCTGAGGTCGAATAAATCAGGTGTTCCCATGACTAGATATCTCTCTTGCCTGAGTCCTGGGGCAGGAGGGGTCTGCAGTCTAACCCGCTGAGACCGAGGGAGAAGGGGGTTGAGGATGGTTCTTTTGGGTCCGAGAGAAGGGGCTGGGACTCCCGGGTCTGAGGGGGGACGGGGGCTGGGGGCCAGGGCTCCTGTGACCCCCACGGCCAATGACAACTGAGTCTGTACACCAAAGCATTTTATTGGGAGTGGGGCAGGGCAGGATTTACAGTCACAGAGACACAAAGACACAACCCTGCCCGGGGGAAAAACACCCCTCTCCCCCAGCCCCATTCCCTTTGCTGGGATTCTGTGACTTCTCCTATGTATGTTCCCCAAATTCTAAGCCGAAAGTGGGGGTCTGAGAGGGGAAGGATCCCAGATCTTGAGTCATTTAGCCCCTGAGGGACACAACAAATGGCCACTGAGACACTGAGGGTAGTTTGAAACCACCCGGGAGAATAAAGTGCAAGGAACTGGGGGACGAGGGGCATCTTGAAACCACCATGGGGAAGTTCAATGGTGATGGCTTCAAACCATTGAGTTGATGGACTTGAGCAGCCACTATTTAGACCTGAAAACCACGTCAGAAAAAGTGCATGGGGGTGGAGAGAGGCATATTGTTAAAACTGCCATTTTGGTTTTTTCCCTAGACATGCTACGCTAGGGAGAAGGTCCTGGGAATTCTGGGAATTCGGTGCTTCCGCAGAATCTGCTGGTAGGGGGAGGAGGAAGGTGGGGGAATGGGGGAGACATGAAACCGCCATTTTCCCTCAGAAACGCTGGTGAGAATCAACCCCTGGAATGGCGGGGATGGGCGATTGGTTGAACCAACTTGGGAAATGCAGAATAGAGTTGGGAGAGATTTGAAACGTCTAGAGGAGGACCTTGAACTTTTCTGAAAGGAGAGGAAGTAATCTCAGGGGTTAGCCTGAGAGCCCCTGGGGTTAAAAGAAAGGGGGACGATGCCTGAAACCACGAGAGAGAGTAAGACGTTGCACTGTCCATTAAAATAAAGCCCTGAAAGGAGAGATCTTAAACCACTGAGGCAAAACAAGTGGAGAAGGGAACCTTTAGGGGAGTTTGGGTATCTTTGAAACTGCCATCTGCAGCTCCACCACCCCTGAGAGGCAGCCAGGAAGGAAAGAGGGTGTAACAGCACTGGGAACAAGGGAGAGTGCTTCTTAGGCCTGCGACACGACAGAGGAGTGGGGCTCCTTGACACGGTCACTCAGGCCGGAGATGTGTGGAGCAGAGGTCCTGGAAACTGCCATCCCGTGGGAGGCACATGGTCAGTAGTCCCGGACAGGGGGTGGGGGTCTTGGGGGCTGAACTGTGCTGTGTGTGGCCCCATAGGAGGGCGGGGGAGCAGGGGGTGCCCCCGGCGGCTCAGCCTCATCCTCCATTTCACTTTCGTCACTGCCAGCCAGCTGGTCGTGGCTGACAAAGCCACACTTCTCTTCGCTCATCTCCTCAGGCTCCGCCCACGGCTGCTTCTCGCCGGAAGCAAAGACCCCGTAGAAGATGACACCCCCATAGTGCACCAGGGAGGCAATTAGGAACACGTACTGCCACTCCTCCCGAGTCTGCAGGGAAGAGGAGGTCAACAGGGATGAATGAGGTCAAATGGAGGATGGAGAAATGAGTAGAGAGGACATGGGAGGGGGAGGGAGGCAGAGATCCAGAGAGGGCCCGAAAGGGACCAGAAAGGACAGAAGTGGGGCCCCAGTGAGGGTGACACAGCGTGGTCAGGAAGGTGGCATGCATACATTTGGAGGACGAGTGACTCAGGGCCATGCACCAACCTTGTGCTTAGTCATGGCGCCCACGATGATGGGGCACACCATGCCCGACAACGTGCCCACGCCATTGGAGATGCCCATGAGGATGCTGGCGTAGCGAGGGGCGATGTCCAGGTGGTTCACGTTGAACCCTGGAGGAGAGACAACTCAGAAGGTGACACACCTGCATCTCACTCCAGTGATGCCCCCTGGAATATTCCCGAAGCCCCCATCCCCACTCAGTTTAGTCCGCCTTTTGTGAGGCTCGGAGACCCCATTCCTGAACCAGGAAGTTCCCTATAGAGCTGACCACAGTCCCCCAAGCTACAGATCCATGGTTCTCACCAGAGATGGCGAAGCCGCTGAAGCCCACGGCTAGGACCAGGAAGGAAATGGCCACGCCCTTGGAGTGCGAGTAGCCGACCACCAGCAGCAGAGTGGCTTCCATGCCGAAGCCTAGGAGAGGGACGCGTCTCCTACGTGTCGGCCAGGGCTGGGCACAAGTGGCCACACACTGCCTTTCCGGACCTGCTCCCGCCCCAATCCGCCTCTGTGTGCCCCAGTCTGGCCACCTCCACACCAGGCGCCAGGCCCACATCCCACCCAACTGGCTCTCCCAACCCCAGCCCTGACCGCGCCCACTGGCTTCCGAGAGACTAAACGGACCCTCCGTGGCCGCATTCCCTGACTAGGCCGCGCCCCGAATACACGGGATCCCTGCGCACCTTCTCACCTTCCCTCACTGTCCCCATGCTATCGAGACCCTGTCTCTCCAGGACCCCCAACTCATAGGCCCGCTCCATCACCTAGCTCACGTCCTACCACACCCAGTCTTGGGCAGGCCCAGCCCTTCCAGGCCCCGCTGGGTCTCTCCTCTGCTTCACCTGGGTAGTCACACCCGTTCCGCGCGGTGGCCCTTAGACTGCAGCATGACAATCTCTTCCATCCAGGTCCCCCCTCATCCCAGCTCCGCCCTGCTGGCCACGCCCCCTGACCGCACCCATGGCCACGCCCACCCCAGCTCCGCACCGCCCTGGCTGTCCCTGATCAGGGCCAGGCCCCGCCCCACTCACCACCGCAGTTCATCAACTTGCGCACGTTGGTGGTGGACATGATGCTGCGGCTCCGCAGGAAGTCAGCGATCTGGCCGCCAATGGGCACGATGATGGTCATGACCAGGTGGGGCAGCGCTGATACCAGGCCCACCTGCAGGAGCAGGCGAAAGGTATGGCGGGGGCTGCTCAGGGCTCAGCGCCTCTGTCTGGTGGGTGCACCACCGGGTGCTTCCTGACTCGGGTCCAGGCCCCGCTGCATCCCACTCCCTCCGGGCCTCCTGTTCTCTCTTGGGCTCTACCTTGCTGATCTCGAAGCCGAACACTTCCTCGAAGTAGGCGGGCTGGGAGATAAGCAGCAGGTAGAACGTCCAACTGCGACAGAAGTTGGCCACGATGATAGCGTAGACTGGCATGGACGTGAAGAAGCGCCGCCAGGGTGTGCTAAACTTCTGTGGGGGGCGAGGGGAGGGGATGCTAAGACTTAGGCCAAGGCTGGGGGCTTCTCCGTGTCCCTTCAGGGACCCCACTGTAGTCCCGCAGAGACCAAGGGATTCCGACCTCATCGAAACCTCTTGGGACCCCAGTGCGCTGGCCAGCCCGTGTTCCCGTGGGGACCGGGGATCCCAGCCTCACGGTGGCACTTTAGGGATGGAGGGGTCCTGGCTCCACGATAGCCCCTCAGGTGCACAGGTGTCCGGCCCTATGATCCCACTCAGGGACTCATAAATGTGGGCCTAGGCATCTCTTATTCAATTAGGCACCCCAAATCTAGCTGCATCCACCCCAAGATCTAAGCAAACCCCCCACATTCTAATCCCGCCTCCGCTGGTTTTAGCCACGCCCTATCTGTGGTTCTAGTCCCGCTCGCCTCCCGACCTAACTCCGCGCATGCTAATCCCGGCCTTCGTGGGTTGTAACCTGACTCCTAGGGTCTAGTCCCCGCTCTCCGCATTCCAGTCCTGTCTCCGCCGGGAGTTACAGGAACCCGCCACTAACTTGGATGTCCCTCCCCGCCCCGCCCCCGCAGACTTGGGCGCGGACCGTGAGGGGGTTCATGAGTTTGGCGCTCTCGCCGATGGCGTCCTCGATGTACTTGCGCTCCTCCTCCGAGATGCTGGGGTGCAACGCGGGGGACTCGTAGGAGACGATCAGCCAGAACATGTACCAGAAGATCCCGAAGCTGCCTGGGGGCATCAGGAGGGGAATGGGAGCGCGGTGACAACCAGCCCTGCTCCACGCCAGTGCCACCCGGAGCCAGGTGTCGGGCCCCTCACCATAGACGTAGAACACAGAGCTCCATCCCGAATACTGCACCAGGACCCCGGCGAGGGGCATCGCGACCACCGCCCCAGCGTAGGAACCTAAGGGCGAGGACGCGGGATACAGGAGTGTCGACCCCCAGTCCCCGTCTTTCTGGGGACACAGAAGGACAAGCCACAGCCCCTCTTCTCTCCGAAGCAGGAGTCTGGATCCCCACCCAGCCCCTTCCTCTCACCGCAAAAGGCCGTTGTCGCCAGGCGACTACGTTCTAGGGGTGGCGCCCATTTGCTCCAGATCCCGTGGCAGGCGGGGTATGTGACCCCCTAGGGAGGAAAGAGCCAAAGTCAGCGCGGGATGAGGCGTGGTCGGAACAGGGGTGGGGTCACGTGGGGCGGGGCTTTACCTCTACCAACCCCTGCAGGATCCTCACGAAGATGACACAGCCATAGTGGACGCGGGCCGCCGAGGGGATCAGCATGTTTAGAGTGGACGTGGCCACGATGGCAAAGCCGAAAACCCTGATGGGCACGGTCAGAGAAAAAGGTCCAGCTCTCCCGCTATGCCCGGGATGCTGCCCTTGCCGCCCACAGCAGCTGGGTGGGCCGTCCGTTCCCCCAGCCCAGGCCTCACCCTCTCTGTGACTTCCTCCGCACACAGTCGCGAGCCCCGCCTTTCTCCAAGACCCGCTCCCAAATTCGAGACCACGCCCTCTACAACCCCACCCACACAGCTGTAGTTCCCGCCCACCTTGAGACCCCCACCACTGTACCTGTTGGCTGCGAATTTTTGGCAGATAAATCCTCCAGGAATCTGAGTGACAATGTAGCCCCAGAAAAAGGAGCCGTGTATGAGGCCGACAGTCTCTGGATCCCAGCTGAACTGGGCTCTCTGCGGGGC